TTCGATCCCAGGCTGCCTCCTGGCTGCATGCCAAATATCCTTGGGCAAGATACTAACCCCATGTTTGCCTACTGGTCAGAGGGCCCGGTGGCGCCAGTGTCCGGCAGCCTCGCTTCTGTCAGTGTGCCCCAGGGCAGCTGTGGCTACAATGTAGCTTGCCATCGCCAGTGTGTGAATGTCAGTGTGAATGACTGAATGTAGTGTAAAGCGCTTTGGGGTCCTTAGGGACTAGAAAAGCGCTATACAAATGCAGGCCATATGCAATGTCCCAAATCATGTACTACAAAGTATTTTGTTTCCATAAGTGCAAGGTACAAGTACCTATATCCCTAATGGTCAAAAATTCAAGTTTAAAATGGCGATGTAACTACGCTAGGGTTCAGGGTTACCTGATCCAGCCCAAATCTATGCTTTATCAAAAAGAAAAGGTTTAAGTTTATCTTAAAACTAGAGAGGCTGTCTTAGAAGATGTAGCCTGATTATTCAAGACCTTATCTTTGATTATGAACACATCAGAGAAAAGTCTGAGTTCAGAATATTGCCCAAGGATGTTTTGACATACAGATTGGAGGAATTGGGAATCAATTTCCCAACCTTCAGATTGATATAAGACCTCTTTTACCACCTAAGTTCCAACAACCCCCACTTGCACAACTTGAACAAGTGCACAACTTTCCATGAAACAAGATTACCCAGTTGATATTTATACACTACCTAGGTACATAGTGTGCATATTGTAAACAGCGAGATGGAAGTGTACCAACAGTAGCATCTAAATTAATACAGTGACACTTGATTGAGTTTTAAGGGTTGTCTTTTGGATTGAGGTCAAATGGCTTGTCAATATTAGAAAAATGGATGATGCAAGAAAAAAAGAATGATAATGATTGTAAAAACATGGAAAAAATTATAAATCAACAACATCTGATATGCCAAAAATTAGCAATTGAGTTCAACAACATTTTTTTTCATGATGTAGACACCTGTGTTTCCTTATCAACAATCAAAAGGAGACTTCATAACCTGCAGTGAAAGGCTGGAAAAGATGGAGATGAGTGGGTGGAGTAAAAATGACCCACTCAAAAGCCAACATGCATCATCTACAGTTGGCATAGTTTCATTATGGCACACTGGTAGTTTTTAAGTATTTCATTGCTGAATGAAGTGACTGAATGAAATAGCAGCATTTTGCTCCATTACGTCAAAAGCATCAACAAGTCAGCAATCCTTAATACACAACCAAAGCAACCAGGGAAGAAGAGGTATGTATACCCTTGGTTAGTTAAGTGACTCTCTTGGTCCCAATTCAAGTGAGCTGCATTTTATTTGAAGAGAATCAGACTAATGGCAAGAAAACTGCAAAATAAAAATGAGCCAAAGGTGGCTGCAATGAAAGCCTCAGAGACCATTAACAGGGAATATACAGAGCGTAGGCTTGTGTCTGTGGGTGTGTCGATTATATTTGACTTTATGTTTCTGTCCAGTTACTTTTTAACCCATAAGCTTTTTATTTAAAAAAAAATATAGATCCCCCTGCCACTTCATTGGGTACACCTGTTCAACTGCTTGTGAGTGTAAATATCTAATCAGTGATTCACATGGCACAACTCAATGCATTAGGGCATGTAGACATAGTCAAGATGACAGGCCAGAGTTCAAATCAAGGATCAAAATGAAAAAGAAAAGTGATCTAAGTGACTTTAATTATGTTGTGGTTGGGGGCTGAATATTCAGTCAGCAGCAGTTCTCTTTGCCTGATTAATTTCAGAGACCAGTGGAGAATAGCCAGACTGCATGAACGTGATAAGAATCAAACTAAAAGTAACCACTTGCTGCAACCTAAGGTATGCAGAAGAGCATTTCTGAATGCAGAACACATTGAAGCTTGATGCAGATGGCCTACAGCATAAGACCCCACCAGGTGCCATTCATATCAGCAAAGGACAAGAAACTGAGGCTACAGTTGATTCAGGCTCACCAAAATTGGACCGCAGAAGATGGGAAAAAGGTTGCCTGGTCCGATGTGTCTCAAAGCCTTTCGGTCCGTGACACTGAGGAGTTAAGCAGTTAAAAATGTTTTTATTTAAACAAGCTTTCTGTTGAGAAATTTTATTGAATTATTGTTTATGAAACTACCTGTTTATTTTATTGTGACTGTTGAATATTTGGTTGTTTTTTTGTTGGGTTTTTTTTAATGGCTATTGCGGCATTTAATGCTCTTATTTAGTTTTTTCTTTTTGTGTAAAAGCTGTTAATAAATACACTTATCTTACATATCCAAGTTGAGACAAAGAGCTGGGTTTGGTGTGTTCAGGTTTAATTAGCTGGCATGTGTCACTTAGTACTTTTCTACAAACTGGAAAGGAAGAGAGTGTTAGAATTTTCCTGTCAGACTGTAATTAATGAAATAAAGAGTACATTTGCTCAGGAAAATATCCTCAGAATCTCAAATGATTAGGGTCCAGATGTCCTCATCGTGGGAACGGTATAACCTTATCTGATGAGGGGTCATAGATCTGTTCTGTTCAAAAGCATTTAAACTTGTGTTCAAAGCTGACTTTATTAGCATTAATCTCTTGGCCATATTTTTTTGGGGGAAAAAAGCAAAAGCTGACTCAGTACTGACTGGCAGACTATTTTTCTGATAAAGTCCTTTGCTCTAAGAGCACACACAGTTACTTCTGTGTCGGTCTGGCATATTTTCTTGTAAGTAAATTATAGCTTTCTGTCACAATAAGTGAGCCTCTTGGGTCTGACGTCAGTATGGTTTGGTCTGGGGTTTAAGTTTATACCCCAATGGAAACTTTGATCTGTTCTGTGTTCTCTTATTAACTGCTTATATCTTAGTCCCTGTTGTTGACCTAAGGTCAGTATAATCAACCATTTGTTTGCTCTAATGTCACAGATGCTTTTTTTTTTATCTGACAACAAGACATTAAAATCTAAAAGTCCCTGAGAACCATTTAACAGATATCTCACCCAACCAGTGGAGACCACTAGTTCAGAGATGACAGAACCCGGTAAATGTCGTTTTTATGTCCTCACATAAATATTTAAAAATTACTGAAGGAGGTGGAAAGTTTTTTAACAGTTAAATCTGCCAGGAATTATTTCTTGAGGCTATTGCTTCAAGAAATGGATTAGACTTCATGCACTGCTGGGAGTTTGTTATTTGAAACCATTTCAAGTATTATGAAAACTTATTTGACCTCTAATCTACAGCTTCCTTCTCACTAATTAAATTTTGCCTATTATGCAAAGAGGAGCCAGGAACCAAAACAGATACATCATTATTAGTATTATTATTATTGAGAGATTTTCCAACAACATGTTGGTGGGTGCTTGTATTGCGGTTTTTATGACGGCTTTATGAGCAGCACTGGCACACCACAGTGTAGAGTGCCAGTGCTTGGGGATGTGCCCAAATGCTAATGTCTGGTGCAGTGAGTGACTTTTATTCCACAAAAAGAGGTTAAGAACAGTACTTTGTAGTACAGTGCATTACTTACAATGACTCAAAGCTATACTGCATTGCGTATTAAGCAGTTAGTAATAAAGATGTCTTGAGATTTATTTGGATAAATAATTAAACGTGGACAGTAGTTTGGTCAATACATTCAGAGGTGTTCTGAGACATAAATGAACTAAGTGCCTCCTATATTGAGTTCATGTACTTGATATAATGAGCAATGTAAATTTCTTACATATTTTGAAATAGTTATTTATGTTCTTTTCTATGTTTCATGTACTCTGTGTGAGCGCTCCATGCTTTATGCCAAGGTATCAATTTACAGGCACTGAAAATAGAGGATGTTATAGCTCATTCTTGTTGCTATGCATCATTGCCTTAGGTCAACTACTGGTTGAGCCAAAAGCAAAAACATGTAGGTCACATGTACTGATACTTAAATGGGAAAAAAAGAGCGAGACACAGAAATCTGCCAACATGTCTGGTTAGATTAAGTTTAACAGACAAGGCAATTTAGACAGGCCAGTTCAGCTGAGTGATAACAGACAATAGAACACCTGCAAGTGTTCATCTGCACCTATTCTAAGATAAACTGAAAGGAACAAATTCTTTCATACTGTACACCTGATGTTCCCATGTTCATGTTCATTAAGAACAATAAATATTTCTTATCGAGTCAAAATAAAAGAGACCCGTTTGCTGTGAAGCAAATAAAAAACACTGGATTTAATAAAGAAAGTAAAGATATTAATGAAATAAGATTACCTTCATACACTGACATCACGGTTATTGTTTTTGGCAACTAATATATGTCAGAAATACATAATGTTTTTTTCCAGAATTGAATTGCTACAAGGTTGTTCTATAAAGAAATGATAAAACCTTAAATTACTGCTTTAAAATGGATGAGAGTGATTTCATGGAGTCTGAATCAAAAGTAGGATATCTGACATTTAAACAAAATGACTACATTCATTTTGACTGTTGCATGAGAGTGAAGGGCACTTTTGATGGTATTAATGACACCAACCCACATTCTTTATGTGCAATTGGATTCAGTGAGTCACTTTCCTTGCACAGTTATTATGCTTTTTGCTATTACCTGACGGAGCCTTAGCATAAAGTGCCAAATTACAGCACCACATCACAATCCCATATATAATGGCATTCATCCAGATAACATCCTTTTCCATATACAGTATCTTTGGGAAAATATTGACCTTTATATTCCAGACTGGAATTCTTGGACTCCAACAACAGCTCGCTTTAAATAATGTAGATGCTGAAAGCACTAACTGTGAAACTGTGAAACAAAAATGACACTGCTTTTAGGCTATTGGGATGATTTGGCTCAAAGTATTTCACATTGTCAAAGCTTACACTAAGTGAACGTATGGGGGAGGAACAGCGAGACAGAAAGAACTATGAGGTCCATACCCAAGTAAGCAGTTTCCTTCGAAGGAAAATGAAACAAGGGGAGGGGGTTACTTACACTGGTAGCAAGCAGAGCTTCGGTAGATCAGACATCAAACTGGAGGCAGCGAGTGATGAGGACAATGGTGCTCCAAAATCCCTAAGAGAAGATAGGATGATTTAGTGGGTGAGCGCCTTTTGAACATAATCACTTAAATACTGTTATTTCGTTAATTTAATGTTTATTAGTTTAAAGATTAAAGTGCAATGACCAAGAGTTTTCAATAATAATGTTTTTTCCCTTCTCTCTGCAGACTGCAGTCCTGAGTTCGGATTATTAAACAGAAAGGGAAAAAAATAATAATAACGGGGTGTGCTGGCAGAAAATTACGTAGGGAAACTAAGCTAACACAGCTGATAGAGGTCCCGAACCTGGGTTTGTGATGTGACTGCTGGCTGCGCCTAAGTGGCGCTTTTACGCACGATGGAAGACCTTTTACGCGAGCAGTACAGTTGGTCTCACAATCTTACATGGAGCAGCTCAAGTCGTGAAAATGAAAGCTACGTAGGAAACACCACGGTGAACCCTCTGAAACGAAATGAAGAAGTGGCTAAAGTGGAAGTTACCGTTCTGGTCCTTGTGCTGCTTCTCGCGCTGACAGGCAATCTGTGCGTCCTGTGGGCTATTCACACCACCAAGCACAGTCAGTCTCGGATGTATTACTTCATGAAGCACCTGAGCATCGCAGACCTTGTAGTTGCAATCTTTCAGGTTTTACCTCAGCTCATCTGGGATATCACTTTTCGCTTCTATGGACCCGATTTGCTGTGCAGGTTGGTGAAATACCTCCAGGTCGTGGGTATGTTTGCGTCTACGTACATGCTGGTTCTAATGTCGATAGACAGGTGCTTGGCAGTCTGCCAGCCACTTCGCTCCGTGCACAAGAAAAAAGACCGCTTCTGTGTGATCGCCTCTTGGATGCTCAGCCTGATATTCAGCAGTCCTCAAGCTTACATATTTTCTCTTAGGGAGGTCGGTAATGGTGTGTATGACTGCTGGGGGGACTTCGTGCAGCCTTGGGGTGCCAAAGCATACATCACTTGGATGAGTTTCAGCATTTACATTTTCCCAGTGGCCATTTTAAGCATCTGCTATGGTTTGATATGTTTTAAAATATGGGAGAATTTCAATCTAAAAACCAGAAGGGAGCACTTTTTGGCTCTCACTCCAAGGCCCTCCAAAGGCGCCCAACCCTTTTCTCGTGTGAGCAGCGTGAGACTCATTTCGAAGGCTAAGATCCGCACAGTAAAAATGACATTTGTGGTGGTACTTGCTTATATTGTGTGCTGGACTCCTTTTTTCTTTGTCCAGATGTGGTCGGCATGGGATCCTGCTGCACCAAGAGAAGGTAAAAGCACACCCAACGGCCTTCGTTTTACCATAACAGTTTTTCTTTTTAAAGCATTTACACATTTTGATTAATGGCAATATTTAATGGTTTGTGACGCCGTTTTCTTCCTCCTATTGTGGGCAAAGTGCTTAGTGACACAATGACTAATGCGTCGTCTTTGTCCAAGATTAATGGTGTTGATTTTTTTTTCTTGCCAAAAGCACTTAATAGGGAAAAAAATGTCTGTTCCACAAGTGTCCCACACAAACAAAAATCATTCTTCCACCTCACAACATATCTTTAGGAATGCACAAGCAATCCGCTTTCAAGGCAACACAATGGTGTTTAAAAATCAGACTTCCCCAGAGTAAACAGAAATGGATGGGAGTAACATTTACAGTGGTTATCAGTTTGAAGAAAGACCTCAGAGCCTCTAGGGAAGTAAATGTACCAGAACATCAAAGCCTTTCTGTCTCAATTCCCAGTGCTAGTTTGTCTAATATCCATTTAATTGAACTGTTTGTTCAGATATACTCCTCAAATCTTGTCAGTTTGCCATTAAAGTAGACATTCAAGCTGCATTATCTTAAAAACATCCACAAATGTCCATTCAGAGCTTTCAGAGATTCTAATCAATGTTTTGGTGGCCAGACTTTTCCTCCAGAATAATCCTTTTCCTGTTGCTCTCATTAAAAAAAAAGAAAAAGAAAGAAAGAAATACCAAGGCCAAAAATGTGTCAAACAAGCACAAATTACATTTAAAATATATCTAAAAAGAAGAAAAAAAAATCCCAGAAGGCTGTGTTATATTAGGGACCCCAGATTGCTTTATGTGTAATTAAAAAAATGTAAGTATTTTTTTGTCAGAGAGCATTTAGCAATATAACCATTATCTGTGGACACAAAAAGTATGTTTAGTGGCTTAGAGATAAAGAAAAAAACTTTAGAAATAAAGAAAATTTATATTGGTCTCACATTCATATGTTATATCAACTTTCAAAAATTTTGCTGTCTTCCTCTTCTTGGTTTACTCAGGTCAAGTAGTATCATCTGTTTCTCAATAAATACACCTGAACAATAATTGAAAAAAAGTTACACATATATTTTGCCATTAAGCAGCCACAATAAAAACTTGTTTCCTTCTTTATAACTCAGTGGGATAGCAATGTTACTGGATTTAACACTCTAATATTAAGCATATATTTAATATTTGTAAATCCAAATAATAATGAAGAATGGGGGAACGAACAGTGCAATCACTTTAAATTGATCAGTCTTTTTTTATTACGAACACAGCCAAGCCAAGGACTGGAGAAGGGTTGCCAAACCTACCACTGACTAAATCTTTGCCACGTCTCTGTCTGTCATGCAAGCAGCGGGGAAGCCTCTTTCGGTGTTGCACACATTATTATCTTATCAGCAGACTGTTATTGTAGAATAATTTCTCTACCGTTCCCACTCTGGTAAATTTTAAAAAGCCTTTTTAATTGTAATTATACTTTTTAACTTTAAGCAAGTAAGAAAGCATTGCTTAAGGAGCTCAAAAATTTTATAAATCAGTAGAGGGTTACAAAAAATTACTTTGACATATAGTCATGCTTGCATAAGTAAATCATAAGAGTGAGTGACTGGTCTGCCTCTGGTACTATTTACAGGGCATAATAAAAATACAGTGGGGCTTAATACATCAGTATAATTTGTGGAACTGGAGAAGTTTTATGAGAGGTAGACAACAGATTGAATTTAAATCAGGCTTTGTGGTTTTAGTGCACATCAAATTCTTTTAGATTTCAAAAAATACTTTTCCAAGGAAAGTCTCTGTGCAAATCTATATGCAAAAGTAAAGATAATTTAGATTCTCTATATATTCTGACTCATTGCAGTCTCTTTGAAGTAATACCACATGGGTTAAGACTCCATGAAGGTCATGTTTATCAGGGCATTTGATCCAGCATGAAACCTGTGAACTTTTTTCCAGGACCTGCACTTCAGTCATAACATCACACTGTAAAACTTCCAAAGGATTCACTGATACTGGAGGAGAATGTGGCTTCTTGCACTCTTGCAATGTTTTCTTAACTTTTTATCCTCAAACTTATCTTTGATATAGAGCCTGTTCTTCCACAAAGTGACAGCAGCTCTGTTTTTGAAGTTGACATCTCATCCTTTATATTTCTCCTGAAAAGAGCAGTAAATCACAATGCTGAAAAGGAGTTAAGATAAATGTTTTTCTTTCATTTCAGAAAGTGATGAACGCATTGTGCCGGTATAAAAAGGAAAAGTTGAATGCTGTCATTTTCAGTTTTTTTCCCTCTGTGTTTCCAGTGGCTAGGATTTCTTGCACCAAATGATTTTACAACTCTGGGCAGGCTGTTAAACACTTTTCAGAATTTTGATGGGCCATTTGGTTGGCACACCTCTCACAATAAAGCAAAGTACTGTGGGGAGTCAGAGCACAAGGAAGAGAATGGATCAGTGCTTGAGGAGCTATGCCAGCAAGCTCTAAATCTCTCACCCTACTAAGGATAAAGAGGGGGGACTTGGAAGTTGTCCACTTTCCACTTTTCAGATTATGTGCTTATTCAGTGTGCTCCAAGGCTCTAATAATTGGAATGTAATCAATTGAGTGAATGAGAAAAAAAGCTGTATTTTTTCCACCAGGGACAGGTTCTTTTAATCGAAGCTGTTCGTCATATTTGTGTCAAGCAACCTAAAGTTCTATCTGTGAGGCATCCAGCAGCCTACCATGTTTCATTTTTATGATCCAAAATGTTTTTTGGAGAAGGAAGTCTGAATTGCATTAGCTTGTCAGCTAATATAATTCTGTATGAATAATGTGGGTATACAGTAAGTACAACAGATTGACAGATTTACAATACATACATGAAATTAAGCATTAAAAAGGGCCCCAGTGGTTTTACTAGGTTTTATGACCCCAACCCAGTACTTTTAGTGACTTAAAAGATTATCAACCACACTATTAGATATGCTATCCTAAAATATTACATCAGATGATGGGGCTTGATGAAAAAGCAGGGTGTTTAATTTGTTAGACTATAAAGTAGTTGTTCAGATATTTAAATACAAACTAAAAGTGTTGGCTCAAGTAATAAATTGCAGCTTGAACAACTTATGAATAAACAAACTTTCAAACCTAAGCATCGAGTGATTACATCTTACTGTGATGGGGAAAGACTTGCTAATTTAGAGTCTTTTTAAAGATCAACCCACTTCTTCTTTCTAAACTGTTCATTTTATTCATGGTGGCAAGGTCTGGTATTTTTCCCATCTTTATTTTCATCACTGTCAGCAAATGCAGTGAAAAGCTGACAACTAGATATGTGTTAGTTTGTCTCTTAACGCTTCTCCTCACTGTTTGTAGCTATAATTCTCACATCTGGTGGTTTGTACAGATGATCAAAATCTTTAAAAAAAATGTAGTTTGCTACCAAAATATTAGAAGAAAGTTTCAAAAATACACAATTTAAAACAGGAAGACGGTGTATTTGTTGGGGGTATGTATTTGTCTATCTCAGATGTGTTATTTGGTAAATATATCTGTAGGACTGAACGCCAATGTGGTTATCCAAACTGGATAACATGTTTATGACAAAACATGTTATCCAGTTTAACGCTGCATGTCACTCACATGTTTTTAATATCATCTGGATAAGATCAGTCAAGCTACACAGCTGATATTTGTTAGTAGAGTCAGTTCAATGGTGGTTGTGGCTTTTCTGGGGATTAACAGACTAAAAGAAGAATGTATGAAGAGAAAAAAAAAGTCTTTCAAAATAACCTCTTACATGTTCTTGTTTCTCTCCGTCTTCCTAGACATGGCCTTCATCATTGTAATGTTGCTAGCCAGTCTCAATAGCTGCTGTAACCCGTGGATTTACATGTTCTTCGCGGGTCACCTATTCCATGACCTGATGCAGTGTTTCTTCTGCTGCTGTCGACGGTACCTGACAGAGTGCTCGTGCAGCTGTGGTCAACAGTGCAGACACAAAAGGGGCTCCTCTACTTACGTTAACAAGAACACCAAAAGTCAGAGGAGCCTCTCACGCACATCCAGTACGGTACACTGAAAAGCCAGCTAAATGGCATGCAAGCTTCGTGCAATCAAGTAATCTAGCAATCATGCAGCTACCCATTTCACCCATTTAACTGAATACAGAAGCAGTGTGCTGGCTATTGCTGCACATTTTCTCTGTAACATTTTGAACCGAGCTAAACTGACAATGTAAACTTCCTGTCCAGATAACACCCTGCACCCACTGGTGACAGAAAACAGTACAAAGGGTGTTTTATATATATCGTGTACAGAATTTGAACAAAATGTGATGTAAAATTCAAAAAGATTTTGTTATCATTTTCATCTTTCTTTGCAACAAAAAATATGTGTAAAGGTAAAGTAATATGTAATATGTAACGTGTGATGTGAAAGATTAGCTACGTTTATTCATATATATTTGTTGTGAATTGTCAAAGAAAACATTGTAGTGTATAGCCTCCACAGGGAGAAGCTTTAAGGTGGAGGAGGGGATTATATAAAAGGGTTGGGGCATTAGTGTCAGCAGTAGAGCTGTCAAATAAAAAACAGTCTGCCTGCGAGAGGGAAAGTGCTCTGATTTGTGATTTGGGTAAAGTTATACTAATTTTGACCTGAAGATTGAACCCTCCAAACCAACCAAAATTTCATAATTCACACTTATAAGACACAAAGACTTCTTCTTTTTTCTCAAAAGCTCAAATCAGTGTGGAAATAAATCTGCAAATACGTAATTGGTCCAATACCATCACACAGTAAATTTCATAAGTCATGAATGATAGTTATCTGTCCACTTTCTGCCATCCTGTATTATATCTAACAGAGATTTCTCTTAGACATAGTATATGCTACAGTAAATCCTGATGTGCATGGATTTCTGCAACAATAAAGTGTGCCAGTGAAGTCGATCTCTGTCGTGTGAATGTGGATGCCACTGCACATCTGTTCCTGCCTGTTGTTACTGACAGCTGTGGGAGTGGAAGAGTGACATCAGAAACACCTTTTTCAATCAAGTGTTTGCTGCCTCAAATTGCTAAATGTACTGTAGGCAATCTTGACACATCACAATAACTAACTGGATGTACAGTATCTCCCTGCATGGTCATTTGTCTTCAAGCAAGAAGATAAAGAGATGACACAGGAAAACTTAACCTTATATTAGGGATGTTGCAACAAAAGAGCATATCATCGTTGTATTTGAAAAATGCTTTAATAATGTCTTTTTAATATCAATAATAAGTCTAAAAGTGTATTAGTTTAAAAACCATATTAAACCATGTCTTTTACTTTCATCTCCTTCCAGGACAATACATCAATTATTAATTATTATTATTCAGAAATATATTCTTGATATTCTGTTCAATGCTAAATCTTAAACAATAATAAAGTTTCTTTCTCTATGACCACAACTGAGCTGTGAAGATAGTGTGAGGGGTCTTTCGGTGATAGAGGAGAAGCTCATGTCCAGTAATTAAAATTGTGAAATGAAAGATATTTGCACATTCAAATATTTTTTCATTGACAAAGTAGAACTTATTTCAACACTTGGTACAAGGTAACTGAACTCTTTTTTTTCTGACTAGACAACGTATTGTTAAAGCCCCTTTTCATACATCCTCAAACTTCTTGAAAAGCCCAAACACTATTACATATTATGTAATATTCAAATTGCAAAAAATGATTTCTGCATGCATTTCTTAAACTATAATCCCTCAGAGTGAAAAAAAAGAACTACAGTACATGCTGAGCAAAAAGAGTCACTAAAATGGCTTCACATCCTGAATGTGAAACGAAGAATTGCGTCACCATTGATTTTTTTACTTCAAGCCTCAGCAGATACTATCAGACTTTAATAACAGCTATAAATAATGAGTGTTACATTTTGGATAAAGTATTTTTTAAATTGCCTGCTCGGTTTGGGTCCACGTGACCACACAACAGTAAGTGCACTTGTCCATGTCAATGAGCATTTGCAGTCTTGAAGTGCTTCTCACATGTGAGTCTCATTCTTTGGCCAGGTGAATGCTGAAGCCACCACAACATTTTCCAGCACTTGTGAGAAAAGGCTGTACAATGACACCAAGGACAATGCTCCATAGGCTCTGCAGCCAGCGAGTGCCAATAAGGAGACACTGGATACAGGGACTAACCAACCTGTCATAGAAGAGACACAAAAATGACAAAGAAAATCATTTAAATCACAGGAAAAAATGTTTTTTTGTTTGTTTTAATATGTAACAGTAATAATTTCCTATTTCTAATTTCTCATGTTGAATTAATATATAACACTCTGCTATAACACTTTGTTTCTCAACAATGAAGTGAAGAGATTAGTGCTTATATGGCATCTTAAAGTTATCCTAATGCAGAAAAGCCCTGAAAGCACCTGGCTTCCCAAAACAAAATTGGAGGGGGGCTTGAATCAAACCCATCCTACCTTTCAGCAGTCATGTTTTTCAGACTTCACATAACCACAAGGTTTTAATTGACATCATTGAGGTCATTTCTTTGAGCGATTTGAAAGCTCCCTCCAGGCCACAGAAGCTATCGCCCATGGAGTGACACTTTAATAGCATTATAGAAAATCTTTCCCTATCAATATTTCTCCGATTCTTGTCTCATCTCCAGAGGGATCAGGTGGCTATTTAGCCTCGAGGCCGGAGGTTCGGATATGTTTTGATGACCATGTGCCAGTTTAGGGAGCCACCCAACAGAGGCAAAATGCACTTATGTTGGCATGGTTCATTTCAATGTCAGTTTATAATTATAACAACCATTAAGGAGGAGGATGTTATATTCTCTGACCGCAGCTGTATGTGTCAGTCTTAGGAAGGCTTAGTCTTTTATGATGGTTAGAAAAAAAAATTAAGCTGACGAAAAATTTGTCTAGTTACTGCTACTATACCACAGTATGATGTGTACTGGGGAAAGATTAAAAGGTATAGTAATGCATTCTTTCACTGTTGTGTGTGCAGGCTCAATAAGCGGTCACAAAAGGTCACCTGTACATTACTTTAATTGAAAACAAAAATCTTAATTACAAACCTAGAGGTCCGAATCTAAACCTACCAAATATGAAGACAGCTGAGGATGGCGAACAGGAGTCCAGAGATTATTGACACAGGAATGGCCAAAAATACTGTGACTATCCGGTAAATCCAAATCCTAGACACCTCGAACAGGGCATGGCTCCAGATCCACACTCTGTCACCGCTCCGCACTGATACCGGCTCAGCTATAACATCCTCAAACGTCACCTAAAGAAACAAAGAGAGACTGATGCTAGTGCTACCGAGGTAAACCAATAGCTAGTGTTCTTTGGGGTCTTGATTCAATTTTTGCAGATAAATGATGTCCACTAGAGAGCGGTGCAATCAGTAAAGCAGCTTTTCGGTCCCCTGTGTCAATATTTAAGTGCTTTCTGTTTTTTCCAGCTAATGTGCAGCATGACAAATGTACAGATAGACAGCGAGATAAAGTTTAATAGAGCTACTGCAGAGAGAATGCAATACCTTAAGGCAGTCATTGATACCTCGGGGGTCTCTTGCATTAATCAGAGGCTTGGTATCACTGATTTCCACTAGTGTAGACGTGTGAATGTTTTCCTCTTCTTCCATAGCAGGAGAGGCCTTCCACAGTGTCTCACGTTGCTCCCCATTTTCAAAGTCTTCAGGGTCACTGGAGTCCCCCAAATCTATATCCACTTCCTCTGAATCGTCCCCTTTCATCATGGTGTTAATTAAATGCAAAAAAAAAAAAAGCACAACCAAAGAAAAACAGAGTGGGAAATTGTTACTTTAGTAACACTCCAGACTGTGTGAGGCCATTGACTGGAACAGCCCAGCCGGCTGTGCCGGGAGGTTATATTGGGAACGTTACAGTGCCCTGGGTGGTATTTGCAGATGGTCTTTCAAGTGAAGATCATTTTCCTCTTCTGTGGGAAGATATGGGTGGAGGATATAAATACTATGGGCATGAACAGAGATAGCTCTGTATACACTGATACGCCAAGTGGGACAGACAGACACTAAAGTATAAAGGTCAATTCAGCTTTATTTAACTGGCAACTGTAAACAATAAAAAAATCAATTCAGGAAGCCGTGCATTGCAATGACCTTACAATATCATAGACTGAAACGAAATGATTCCTTCATCTTTTACTTTAGTTGTTTGTAATACAACAAGGCAAAGATGCAGAACTAAAAAGGATTTCTACCGAACATATGCAGTGATACTGGAATTCCTGTCATGCTGATTCTAAAATGTTATTCATAGGCTTCATTACTTCTGCATCTAAAAAGCCTTTAACTACGAGACAACACTGCCCCTATCTGGCCTTTTATGGAAATTAACTACTTATCTTTGCCTGTTCCTAATCTAAACACTGAAATGCTATCCAGTTCTGTACAATTAATATTTACATCGTGTGTCACTGCTATCAGTAGGTCAAATACTCATCCAATCAGACCATATACAAAACTAAGCAACACATACAGAAGAGATACTAAGAAACAAAATCTATACAGTAAATATTGGTGTATGATGTTGTACAATGTAAAACCTAAAATAAAAAAAAGCTTATATCAGCCAGGCAAATAGCATGGTGCTGGGTGGATGGAGAGAGAGCAAAAACTGAGGCAGCCAGCTTTTAGAGATGGGCGAGGAGCTTCCAGTTGCATTCATTAACTCTAACAGGGGCTATCACAGTGCATACATCAGGATTTACATAATGGCAGCCCACAGTTCCAACCAGACATTCCATGGGTTCCCTGGCTCAAAACTAAATGACTTTAAGATGAGCAAATTAAATATAAGGACCAAAACTTAACATATTTAATTTCTTAAGAACATAGCAGTGGTCTTTCTGACTTCCTATCCAAAGTTTAATTAGACAATTGTATATAAGTGGCTTGACGGTTGTAGATGGTGTTCTGACCAAGCGGTTGCACAATATTCTAAATGTAAATATGTGGTTGAATGAATTAAACGTTTGCAGTATGAAATGGTAGATTGTCTCTAATGGCTGTAAATGGATGATGGCTTTTGTAACTTTTATCACCCTTTACCTTTATGTCCAAACAAAAAAAAAAAAAGCACACAAAAATTGAGTAATCATATCTTGATCAATATTAAGAGTAATGCATTAAAAAGTTTTGCTCTTTTTAATCCTGAAAAACAGTTTAAAGAAACAAATAAAATGGAAAAAACAAAGCCAAGCCTGATCTGAAAGACTGAATGAACATGGCGCTACGTAGCAACCTGCTATTGAGTATGTAACAAACTGTACATTTGTTCAGAGTTGGGGATAAGTGCTCTACTCTGTGATGAGCACTGGACGGTCTCCATGGTAATGATAATTTCTGCCTGCTGGATGGAGATAGAGAGAGAACACAGTGTATGGATGACAGTGAATTTCCTGTGTTGGTGCAGGAGACAATGGTATGCTAATGGACTGCACACTTCACCAGATGGGGTTTGTTTGTTTCCGGCTTCACAGGTGAGGTCAGACGGTGAGTGCATGTGTGGAGCAGCCAGATAGGGAGAGAGGGGAGAAGCAACCATGAGGGAAAGATAGAAAAAGAAACACGAATATCCCAACTCACTGAATAATGCTATTCTTACCCCAAGACTACAATTCTGAGGGCTTGCAAGATAAGATAAGCTTCAGCTAATAAACAAATAATTGGGAGCAGTACTGTCTTTGTCATGTTTACTGAAACATATTTTTTAATAAACTTGTATGTAATAGTTGGAACATGATTTATACTTTTTATATAACAAATTACACTACTTACTTTCTTTTTATATAAATTGCATGGAGTACAAAACACTGTAAAGAAATGGTGTCACAGTTTAGGTATTTTCAAATAGGTAAATTTAAAGCTAAAAAAAGAGAAAGAAAGTTTTGGGAGAAAAGGTTATTTTCA